AGGGATGCTTCCACAGTGCCTGCTCAGGGTACACTCTGTCTACCTCGGTTTTCCAACACCCCCACCACCAGGTCATCTGGGATAACCCACAGCTGCCTCATACTGGCTTCCCCACCAGATTAATAAGAGCTAATGTCTCTTACATCCTATCATGCGTCAGCTACTATTCTAATTAATCTTTTTTAATCCACACTCGAGGGAATGTGTGTGTTTTTTCATTCTAGAGAGAGGAAATGAGAGGGAGAGAAGCATTGATGTGAGAGAGAAACATCAATCGGTTACCTTCTGTACATGCCCACACCTGCTACCTCCCAGCTATGTCAGGGTCCAGCAGGCTCCTGACTCACCTCTAACCTCCTGGAGTGACAGGTTCCCTAAGACTGGTGAGAGGCCCAAACCCACCTCTTCTAACCGTGCGCGCTTCTCAGAAGGCTCTGAGCCATCATCCTTATCTTCCGAATGTTCTTCATCCTCCTCTTCATCCCTAAAGATATCATCATAGGCGGGCACTTCAAGGTCATCGTCTTGTTTAATGAGTAGTTTGATCTAAGATTAAAACAAAGAACCATCAAGCTCCCCTCTCTCTTGACAGAAAACTATTTACCACATATTTGTGTCTTGAAGAATCTTATTTTCTAATTGGTTGACTCATAACTTTTCTGCACACATAGTCACGTGATTAAAAATTTCAAACTTCTCAGGCATTTTAAAATTTTCATTTCCATTAAGTGAGGTGCTAGGGTTACACCACACTGTCTGCAGAAATGACCAAAAAAAAAACTTGAAAACTATCTACAGTCACAAAGTCTTGGAAAAAGCTCCCTCTTATGCCACACACCAAGCCAACAAAACAAACTCTCCACAACCTGGCCTCTGACAGAGGACACGAAGATGTGCAACCCCAAAGAGAGTAAAAGTCCTGTCCGTAAAAGCAGGTCCAGGCTGGCGGATTTCACCTGAAAATTCTGGACCATCACTTTGTTAACGTGGGTGGGAAAAATGACCTCAGAGGAAGGTTAGGCGGCTGCTCTGCGCCAGGCTCCGAGTTCTGCTCAGGAGTTCAAAAAGTGAACGCAGCAGAGCCATTTTAAGTTAACAGTGGCCTTCTGCACCACCGCCTTGCTGTCCTCATGCCACCCCTTAGATGGGTGGGGCAGATGTCTCTGAGGCCCCTGGATGGTTAATGAGGCTAGGCCTGAGCTCTGAGGGCAGACTCAGTTCTGGTCCCCACACTTTCAAGTCATGCACGTCCCACAAATGCATTCCGAGCAACTCCCAGGGTTAGGTGTCAGGCTTCTCATCAAAGATGGACAAAACCAGATTCTTGTCTTGCTAAGGACACCAGGTGCAATGCTGTCCTTGGCATGAAAAGGAACAGACAGATCGATGGGAGAACGCGGGAGATGCATGGGCCCAAAGGCCTAGTTACCTGGGTATCATTGTACACATTCACAACATTGACTGGCCTATGGGTGTCACACACAAAAAATATGGCGTCCTCATCAGGCTGAAGGATATCCAATAGGTCAATGTTAGCTCCACAGTTTATGAGGATGAAATAACGGAACTGAAAAAAAGAAGAGACATGGTGAAGAAAGTACATGGACAGGGCGCACACTAGGCCTCTGAGTCCTTCTGCTGAGATGCATCAAAACCCTAATAGGCTCTGACAGGAAGGGGCTCCAAATAAGCCCACAGCTGGCCTGTGCTAAGTGCTTTCATATACTCCATATACTATTTCACTTCCATAACAGCACTGTGAGGTAGGCCCTGTGGTTGTCCCTGCTTCACCATAGAGCATACAGAGGCTCAGCATGCCTACGTCATACATGGAGTCAAGTAGTTGATGAGGGTCCTGGCTGGTTTGGCTCAGTGGATAGAGCATCAGCCGGTAGACTGAAAGGTGCCAGGTTTGATTCTAGTCAAGGGCACATACTTCTGTGTATCTCTCTCCCATCAATGTTTCTATCTCTCTGTCTCTCCCTCTCCCTTCCACTCCCTCTAAAAGTCAATGGGAAAATATCCTTGGGTGAAGATTAACAAAATAAAACAAAAAATTAAATATTTTAGCAAGTCTTGGGTAGTCCATACTTAATGTACACCTAAATATTAAGTTTTCATTATATCCCGTCACTATAGAAAACACTTTCCTTATAAATATGGAACTGGCAGAGGTCTGTCCCATCATGACAAGAGCCTCAGGTGAGAATATACCTCTGCCAGACTGTCATATATATGGCCACAGACTCCTGGGACCCTATTCCATACTCCAGCCCCTCGCAGTGGGGTCTCAGCTGCCCCAACTCTCATTATAGCCCCATGCAGAAGTGGGAGGAGTCCTGACTTTCCACTGTTTAAATTATGTTCCCAGATTCCAAAAAGGAAACTGGGATACATCTTTTTGGAGCGATAATGGGAATAGTAGTCTAATCTAAAATAATTTTAACTAGGCCATGTCTAAAACAAACCGCTAACCTCCAAGCACCTTACAATGGAATGTCTGTAACACAAATTCGGAGTTAGAAGCTGTCCATATTGACTTTTATTTATTGTTGACCTGAAGGTATGTCACCCAGCATAATGCTTGTTTTTCCCTTTCATATTGTGCAACATATTTGATACTTAAATAAGACATTACAATTTAGTAAAAAAAGCCCAAGTACTCCAAAATGCATCTTGCATACCTGTTCTTTATGTTCAAGAAAGGCAGTTTCAAGTTCTTGCCACCCAGAAACGGGAACCAGTGTATATTGCACGTGGTCACACTGGAACAGGGCCTAGAGAGAGATTATTTTCAAAGCCTATCATATTTGGAATGTGTTTAATTTACCTTGAAATGCACTTAAAAAAATAAGATGGATTGAGAGACAAATGACATGTGACAAAAAGGTTAGAAAAATATTAATGGAAAAAACTAGGGGATGGGAATGTGAACGTTCACTACACTATTCTGTAAACTTTGCTGAATTTTTTTAAAATTCCCGAAGAAAACATTGAGAGAAAACCTGATCTTATTTATAGTTCTTCTGAGAAGTAGTTCCTAAACCAAGGGCCTGACCAAAGCTCATGTAAACATCCACTGTACCATATAAAAAACTGAAGCAATGGTCCTATCTAATAAAGAGGGACTATGCTAATTGACCCTCACACCATTGCAAAGATGGCAGTGCCCACAGCCAATAAAAAGGGACTATGCCAATTGCCCTGCCCTCAAAGATGGCAGCGCCCACAGCCAATGAGAGAATATGCTAACTGACCACCCTGACCTCAAAGATGGCAGCGCCCACAGCCACAAGATGGCGACACCCAGTCCTCTCAGCCCCCAGCCACCCAGGGCCAGCTGAGGTGCAGGCAAGTCTTGGATGGCAGCTACCCAGCTGCCCAGGGCTGCTTGAGGCTCAGGTAACCAGTCTGCCGGCAGTGACAGCAACAGAGGTGTGATGAGGCATTGCCTTCCCCTGATCACGGGGTTGCCTCTCGCCCCTGAGGCTCCCAGACTGTGAGAGGGGGCAGGGCTAAGGAACCGCCCCCCTCCAGTGCATGAATTTTTATGCACCAGACCTCTAGTCTTCCATAATAGACTAAGGAACCCTGTATTTCCAGCATTACTTATGGCATCACTATGTCCTCAATTGTCACAGATTTATCTGTCTCAAACCCCACATCTGAAAAGCCAATACAGGTCTCTCTACTGCAACCATATTTTGCCTAGTTTATTGCAAAAATATTAACCCGTCTCCCTGACTTCTGCCTAGAACTTCTCTAACCCACCCCAATACCAACCTGCCAGGGAAGAAACTTCAAGAGGCCTCCTCCCCAGCTTTCAGTTGTTGTCGCTTCAGGCCCCTACCCCAACCTGAGCTCTCACCTGAGAAGGTGCTCCTCACCGCCCGCCCTGCTCCCTACCCCACCAAGTTCCCTCCGGACTCTACGCCCCCACCTCCCGCCCGGGCGCGCCCAGCACGCTCTGCTCTCGCCCGGCCCCACCCTCCCAGGGTCCGAAGTCGCACCTGAAGGATCTTGCAAGCGCACAGGGCGTCCACGTCCGACGCCACGAAGAGAAGGACCCTCTGTCGGCGGAAGAGAACGAGAGCTGAGCGCAGTGCCCCTAATCCGGGCCCCTCCCGTCCTCCCACGGCCGTTCCCCTTTCATCCCTTCCACGCGAAGAGGCCTCAGGGTCCAAGGAAGGGCGGGGTCACCTGGTTCTGGACCACCTCGTAGAACTCTTTGCGGAAATCGGACACGAACATGACCACGGTAGCCGGGACACCCAGAGCTGGCCCGCGCCGATACAACTCGGAGCCCCGACTGTGATCGAGGCTCCCGCCAAATCGGGGTCTTTTCCAATTGGCCCACAAGCCAACCAATAGCTACTCAGCTCCCGCCTTTCTTCCTGTGTGATTAGTTCAAATTGCGGCGGCTGCGGCGCTCCGCCATTCACGGCTGGAACATGCTGGCCCGCCCCTAGACGCGTCATCGACGAGCTGGATGCAAACACGTTTGCCCAGAAACAACAAGGTCGGTGGACATCTTTACTTTGGGCAGAGAAGCCCACTACTCTCCCACAGGAACTCCAGGAAAAAGCCATCTCCCCTTAAATTAAATATATTTATACATCGCATGAAGCTGTCAGTTTATTATTTCAGTATCACCTTAAGTTCAATATACACCGAACCAAGTTGTCAAGTTGATGATTTCAATAGGCTCGTATCGGTCTAGTTCGAAGGCAGATGAGTAGCGTACTTCCGCCCGACTGCTGCATTCTGGGTAATGTAGTCAATAAGGAAAATGGCGCTAGTAAATTCGTCGGGGGAGGAGTGGTACACTTAAAATACTTTTTAAAAATCCTCTAGAGTGGAAACAAGTTCCAAAAAGATACTTTATTGTTCATTCCGGAGAAACTTTGGACCCTGGCGCTTTTGCCTGGCTTTTTCTCTTTTACAACCCAGCCCAGTGTTCGGGACACCCCCCTTCACCCCCCCCCCCCGGGCTGTAGTCCGGAACTTCCGGTGAGTCTTCGGGGACGTCAGAGCCGAGGCGACAGCGGCGGCCGCTTTGGGAAGAACGAGTCGGCTGTGAGGAGAGCTCGTCCGAGGGCTTGGGTCGTAACGTTCCCTGGACAGAGCGGTGTCTGCGTGGCAGAGGTGCCATCATGGTAAGCGCGGCAAGGCAGGGGCCGGCAGTTGAGGGCCGGGGAAGGAAGGAGGGTGTTTAGGACCCGGCAAGTTGGGCCTGACGGCTGCGGAGGTGCCGAGTCACCCGGCCTAAGTCAGGCCGGTCCGTCCGTCCGTCCGTCCGGGGAGCATCGGGCAAGAGCCGTACCCCGGACTGCAAACGGTCGCGGGTCATCCCCACTTGTTCAGGAGGTGGCTTGCATTTCCTCTCAGTTGAACTTGAGTTCCTTCCTTGTTTGTGTCCACCCATGGTTTTCGCAAGCGGTAGACATTTAACAGGTTCCATGAATACTGAGTTAACTGAAAGTTTGTTGAGGGGAGGAACAGAATGAGAGGCTTCCCAGAAAGAATACATGGGGGCATCCCCGTGAGCAGGAACACTCCGCTCTCACCCAGTTCCTGGAGTCCGGTCCCTCCTGCGTCCTGCCTGGGTGGTGGTCATGCCTTCGGCTGTGTAAGCGATTCAGTAAACATGACAGTAGTAGCTAATATTTATTTGCTGGTGCTTTTCCCATACACAGCTTTTATTTGAACTCCTACAGTCCCTCCTTACACCTTATCTCATTTAATCCTTATAGTGACCTTGGAGACAAGGATGATTATTATCGTTTTCACCATGAGAAAACTTGTTGTTTACAGAGGTCACAAAAGTGGAGTGAAAATTTTAAACCCAGTCTGGCTAGCTGGCTGCAGAGCTCAGTCTAATTATTGTACTACTGCACAGCATTACCTAGATGTCACCCGTTTGTTTTTGTAAAAAAAAAAAAAAAAGGAAAAGGGAAAAGGAATGATGATTAGATTTTCTCCTGAGTGTGTTGTTGTCGAATCATACTTCTATTCTCAAGTTTATCCACTTAACAGACCTTGAATACTTGATATGTGGTAGGCAGTATGCTAGGCATTGGGATTTATAAAGGAAAGTAGGATTTGGAATGGGGAGCAGTAGGAAGGAGCATAAATTCCCGAGTGAATTGAAGGCAGATTGGTATGCGTGTTAAATACCTTGCACATTTTTCTCTTTCGTATTGCAGAGAGAAGGAATGGCTTAGATGGGGTGGTGTAGTGAGAGGCGCTCAGGGAGGCCCCACTTTTCTTCCTTTTATCCCAGAAACACTTGCTTTTGTTAGGTTTCTGGCCAAGATTTTGCTAGACAGAGTTCTAGAAGAATCAAAGGTTTTAAACTGTGCCCGACACAGGGAGTGAAGAATCACTTGAAGTTTTAAGCATAATCATTTGAGACTTATATTTGCATTTTAGGAAGATGGCTGATTCCATTTTGGTAACTACCTTATCAATAGATGGCTTTCCCTCTACGTAATGTATATTTGGAATCAAGTAAAAAATATTTGACTATTTTGAGATTTTTTTCTTTATTTTTTTAAATTAAATCTTTATATTGAGCCCTAACCAGTTTGGCTCAGTGGCTAGAGCGTCAGCCTGCGGACCAAGGAGTCCCGGGTTCGATTCCGGTCAAGGGCATGTACCTTGGTTGTGGGCACATCCCCAGTGGGGAGTGTGCAGGAGGCAGCTGATCGATGTTTCTAACTCTATCTCTCCCTTCCTCTCTGTAAAAAAAAATCAATAAAATATATATTTTTTTAATCCTTTATGTTGAAAGTATTACATAGTGAAAGCAAAACAAAACAAAACAAAAAACAGAAAAAATGATTAATTCAGAGTTTAAATATTCTATGGGGAAAAACTTCTGAATAAAATTAAGAGACAAGCACCCAGTTGGTGTGGCTCAGTGGTTGAGCGTCATTCCATGAACCAAGAGGTCACTGGTTCAATTCCCAGTCAGGGCACATGCCTGCGTTTGATCCTTAGTGTGGGGTGTGAAGCAGGCAAGCCCATCATTGATGTTTCTAACTCTCCCTCTCCTTCCCTTTCTGAAATCAATAAAAACATTTTAAAAAATATGTTTTTACTGATTTTTAGAAAGAGAGGAAGAGACCTCTTGGTTCCTACTGTAGATTGACATTCAGCTGCTGAGCCACACCAGCTGACTCAACTCTCAACTCTCTTCTTAAAAAAAAAAAGAAGAAGAAAAAGAAAGAAAGAGAGAGCCCTAAAAGGTTGGCTAGTGGATAAAGCATCGGCCTGCGGACTCAAGAATCCCAGGTTCAATTCGGGTCAAGGGCATGTACCTTCGGGGCGGGCATACAACCAGTAGGAGGTGTGCACCAGGCAGTTGATCAATGTTTCTCTCTCATCGATGTTTCTAACTCTATCCCACTCCCTTCCTTTCTGTAAAAAAATCAATAAAATATATTTTAAAAAGAAAGAAAGGGTGGAAACAGACTTTAGGTTCATTGTAGTACTGACAAGTGCTTCAGGCAGACCGCTGTGGTCCATCAGGATTTTGGTAGTGTATCTTGTTCTTCAACAACATTTATCAGCATTAACTCCCCTGAACTGTTTTGGCTGAGAATAAATATGTCTTTATTCTGTTCTAACTCTGGCATCTCTTTTCTCCTAGTTCTCTTTCAACATGTTCGACCACCCGATTCCCCGGGTCTTCCAGAACCGCTTCTCTACACAGTACCGCTGCTTCTCCGTGTCCATGCTTGCAGGGCCTAATGACAGGTCAGATGTGGAGAAAGGCGGGAAGAGTATGTGCTTGTTTTTATTTGGAATAGTAACTTTTATTTGGAATAGTAACTTTTATTTGGAATAGTAACTTTTATTTGGAATAGTAACTTTTATTTGGAATAGTAACTTTTCCTGCCCTCAACCTGCAGTGCTTATAGTCTTCAACAGTTCTTATTTTACATGTGTAACAGTAGCTACTTACGCTGAAAACGTTGCTTGTTCCAGATTTGCTGGGGTGGAGTCCAAATTATGATTAGATTTATGGCTAGTATCCATTCATTTCCCCAAAATAAATTATAGCTAGTAAAATTCGTTATGACAGATCATTATTATTAATTCTGGCTACCATATAAGTATCATTTAGTACTTTTTTTTAAAGATTAACAGCAACTGCATTTTGATTTTTGTTGTTTTTATTTTCTAATACTTTTTAAATGTTCTTTTCACAGTTATTATGCCACCCTCAGCCCTCGATCAACTCAGTAAGTATTTCCTACACAACTTGAGAACTGAGGTAATATAAAGGCGGATGCCACGTCTGGCCAGGAGTTGTCCCTGGAATATGACGCTAAGCTGGGAGAGCTAGGGCCACAGATGGCCCAGTGACGTGGCCCTGGGGCCAGTGAGTATTCAGCTCCAGGACTCTTTTTTTTTTTTTTTTAACATTTTTTTTATTGATTTTTTACAGGGAGGAAGGGAGAGGGATAGAGAGTTAGAAACGTCGATGAGAGAGAAACATCAACCAGCTGCCTCTTGCACACTCCCTACTGGGGATGTGCCCGCAACCAATGTACATGCCCTCGGCTGGAATCGAACCCAGGACCTTTCAGTCCGCAGACCGACGCTCTACCACTGAGCCAAACCGGCTTCAGCCCTAGCCTGACTCTTAATTAATGACTTGCCTCTCTGAAATTCAGTGACTTCATTTTTAAATGGGGACACACAGAGCTGCTGGGTGGCCATAGTACCCCTTAAATAGTGCCTTGTGGTGTATTTGTAAACAGCCTAAACCCAGGTAACACCAGTCAGAGGCATGAGGTGGTACCTTTAGCCAGTAGGGCTTCACCAATGCCAACAGCAGCAGTGGTCGTACCCAGTAGGGGCCTTTAATCCTGGCCTCAGTCAGCCAGTGGGTGGATAGAGCTGAGCGGATCACATCCCTCAGACAAGTCCCTGTGATGGCAGAGGAGGGGCCAAGGCCCCAGAGAACCCACCTTTCCATTTGAGCTGACCCAGAGGCTGAGCACCAGTGTGACCCTTGGCCCAGGTGTCTGAGAAGAGACTTAGGGATTGGGACTGTAGTATTTAGATCAGTGCTGTTCATACCTTTTATTCTGTGGGAGAGACTGTCCAACTGAAATCTATCAGCATTCAAGTCACTCTTTGTGATGTGCAGGGGTGCAGGGGGCAACACCCACATCCACCACTACCTCTGCAGGGAGGAGCCACTTCTGGAGCTCTCCCTCCCTATCTGTGGTGTCTTGCCCGAGCTCATTTCTTGGTCTGCTTTATCAAAATTTTTAGGGAGATCCCAAATAAGTCTGCCATACCTCCTGACTGCTGCATGAAACTTCTGTTGCATGTTTTCCTAAATCGACAGGGCAAAGTAGGTCTCAATGGTTAAGTCCCCAACCTGGGCCAGTAGCCTAGGTTGAATCCCAGTGTCACTCCTTCTGGGCCGTGCGTCCTTGGCAGGTTCACCATTCTTTTGTTCTCCGTAGATAAAATTGGCAAGGACAGTACCTACCTCACTCTTCTGGGAAGACCGAGTGAGGGCCTGGCGTGTGGCAAACACTGTCACTATGTCAGTCTGTCCCAGTCCCCGACTCTCCTGGGTTCTGCTTCCCATTGACAGCTCCTCTGTGCCCCCTGCACTCCTGGGTCAGGCTGCCAGCAGTCCTGTTTGCCTGCCTATGGCTCTGTATGTGGCCTCACCCTCAGAGGGGATGCATTGTGTCAGTCACCCTGCGTGGTGTCCCACCCGGCCTCCTCTCCTGACCGCTCCACACCTTGTACCCGTGCTCCAGCCTCACCTAATGGTCAGCCACTCCTGAACTGGCTGGGTTCCCCTTCCCTCCATGCCTCTGCTCAGGCTGCTTCCTCTGCCTGGAATTCCCTTCCTGGCCCTCCCACCTTGACTTCCCTGGAGGCCATCCTCCAGCAGCCCTGCGTCCTCCCACCCTGCTCCACCCCTCCCACAGCACCACGCATCAGGGTGCCCTTGTTTTCTTTCTTGGTTTGCTCACTAGAAACCTTTGAAGGTGGCAGCTTTGTCCAGCACATGGTTGGCATTTAAATTATCTGCAAAGAAACGAATAAACATGCCACTTTTCAAAATTAGAATTTCAGAAAACCACAAGTGTAAGCTGCTGCTGAGAATCAGAGTCACTGAACATTTCCCAGTTCTGGGCCAAGTTCTGTGATCTCACAGGGAACATGGGGTCTTGTGGGTGGGCAGACTCTGAAGGGCAAAACACCACACAGGTCCGCCGATCTGCTGTGGGGGGCAAGGCTGTGTGGAGCCATAGTGGGTGCTCAGGAGGCTGCTTTTTGGGGGGAGCTTGTTGGGGAAACAGCATTTCTGTCCCTTGGAGAAGTTTAATCTCATAACCTCTCTTGTTTCTAGGCCGACTCAACATTACCTACCCCATGCTGTTCAAGCTGACCAACAAGAACTCGGACCGCATGACGCACTGCGGTGTGCTGGAATTTGTGGCTGATGAGGGTATCTGCTACCTGCCACACTGGGTGAGTGGAGCTGTCTCTGGAGAGTCTGTGAGCCTGTCTCGGGTGGAACCTCAGGCAGGGACACCATCCCGCCCAACATGTGCAAGTGTCTTGCCCCAGATACAGAGTGAGGGAGGGCATTCGGAATATCCTTTTCTTCGTTAATTGCTCAACTGGTAGCCTGGATACCACCCCATGCCATTTACCTGTGATCTCCTGGGTATGGCTTGTTCACCATAACGAAGCAGCAGTATATTTGAAATGGTCTAAGTACAAAATTTTAGATTTTTAAACATTTTCTCCCCATTTTCAGAAGTTTCTCCCCCAGTTCTGTTGAAACAGATATGCGTTTACTCTTTTGCCTATAACTGAGTCTTTTTAAAGCACTCAGTTTTGTGGTCATGAAAACAAACCTTCTCTAGAGCTCTTGGGCTTTCCCTTAAGCCTGTGTCCTTCCCGAGGGCTAGGGGAGCCAGCCCCTCCACTGCAGGAGCCCTCCACTCCCACACCTGCCGCCTGGCCTCTCGTGATGTTTCCCAATCTTGGTCCCATGGGGAGCTCTTACACCTCAAAGCCCAGACCCAACTTGCTTTCCTGACCACTTGCCCTCCCCAGCACTTGTCTCCCAGTGCCTCACTCTCCTGTGTATCTGGAGGTCCCTCTTCTTGGTTTGAGGCCTTCTCCTGCTAATCCCGTAGAGTATTGTGGGTGGCTGAAGTGTCGGACATTGACAGCTTCCTGAGACCGCTGTGGATCTGCAGAGCCCCCTCTATAGAAGTGAGAGAAAAGGTGGTGATACTGGGGTACACAATCCCTCAAAGGTTCTCTGCAACCCATTGACTTGGAGTTTGGTGACCCTTGTCTAGGTTCTTAGGCCACTTTGGATCAGAAAACTAAACCATTTTTCTCTGAGAAAAATCACATTCCCTGGGATGCCTCTATAGGTAGCATGGAGCTGCTGGTCTGTCTCTTCCTGAGCTGTTCTTCTAGCTCCTGGCAAGAATAGGCATTTGCCTGGGGTTTCCCAGGTGTTGCCGCTGAGCCAGCCCCCATGCTCATGCATTGTGTTGGCTTATTGGCTGGCTCCATCTCACCTCAGGCTCCCGGGCTTCTTCAGGGTGAGTCAGCCTGGAACAAGGTTCCAGGAGGCCATCTGAATGTCAGACTTTAGGTCGATGACCGTCCCTGATTTCCAGAAACCTCACGTGGCCTTCTTTTTCCTTTAGATGATGCAGAATCTGCTGTTGGAAGAAGGGGGCCTGGTTCAGGTGGAAAGTGTCAACCTTCAAGTGGCCACATACTCCAAATTTCAGCCTCAGAGCCCTGACTTCTTGGACATCACCAACCCAAAAGCAGTGTAAGAAGGGTTCTTCTGGACAAAAGAGGGGTTTGCTGGCACACAGTCTAGAGAGCACTTGGTTGAATGTGTGCCTACTTTGAGGAGCACATATTTATTGTGATTGGCGTAGTAATTTGAGCATAATGACATTCAGCCAGCACGTCTTCCATCACTCCTGGACCTGGGCCTGACCAGTGTGCTAGACGCTCCGTGTGCCCCTTCTGTGTGCTCTCTGTATACTTCTTCATGGGCACCGTGGAACCTTTCCTTCGGGTGAACTTTGACCCCTAGCCCAAAGCCCAGTATGTTCTGGTGGAAGGGAGCCACTGGTGCCCGTAAACTTGCCACTCAAGCTTAGGGCCTTTCACTCCAAACCAGTGGGAAGCATTGGCTTAAGTTTTCTTTCTCTTAGCAAGAGGAATGCAGAGGTTTTAGCTTCTAGTGATCTTTTTTTGGCAGGGAGGGTGTGTGTTCTCTGAACAGTAGCAAGACGTATGTGTTTATAATTTAAGGAGTGACCAGTGTGGGTGAGGGGTCTGCTGTGTGAGGACTACAGTAACTTGGAGGCCCCAGTGTAGCTCATTGAGGTCATGTGATAGAGTGGTCACTCTATCTCCTATTTGTTTTTTAAAATGCATGTTTAGAGAAAAAAATGTAGGTAAGTGGACAGCAAAGGAAAAGCTGCCTTCACCTGTCTCTCTGCACTCTTCGCAGGCAGGAGCTCAGGAGCAAGTTGCTGACAGTCGTGTCCTAGATGTGGGTGGGCACATTGAGCCATCCACTGACTGTGTCTGTGGACTGGCATTTGGGCCCCTTGCAGCTGGGTCCTGGACATGCAGGGGTGCTGGACTCTGCTCATAGCAGTCAATGTCCTGTGGCAAAGTATGATCCCTTGTCATTCAAAGCTCTGCTTGGAGGTGCTTGTCTGACTGTCAGTGCCTAGGAGTGAGGCCTGCGTCTGACTGTAGCCCCTCATGATTTTCTCTAAATTTTTATATTTTTTTCAATGCATTCTTACTGAATTGCTTTCAGAAGCAATTTCTCTCATAGAAAGGGCACTACTTTCATCAGCTATGTCAACCCAATGCCCTTGTCCAGCTGATAGTCTGGATAAAGGCAGTCACATAGAGCAGAGAATGTAGGGGGTGCACAACAGCGACGGGAGAGCCATGTTCATCCTCAGGCCAATTGGATTGGGTCTGACAACTTGGGTCCTCAACGAGGGTCCAGGGCAGGGCCCTCCTGAAGCATGGCATTTCACATGAGGAATGAAGACAGCATCCCACACAAGGCCCTTTTCACAAAGTTGCTGTCACCCTGGAAGGATTTGTGACCAAGAAAACAACCTAGACAGCCTGGCTTTCCCCCTCAGGCTCTGAGAGCCTCTCTAGGACAGCATTCACCACGCGGTGATCCATGACATTGAAAGGTTGGCAACCGTTGCTCTAGGAGCTGCCATGTCACTGGTGCATTCTGGAGCTATAGTTTATGTTTATGCCTTGACATTGTGTGTCTGCAGATTAGAAAACGCATTGAGAAACTTTGCCTGTCTGACCACTGGGGATGTGATTGCCATCAACTACAATGAGAAGGTAAGTGTCGGCTAGAGGGCCAGCAGAGCCATTCTGATATTTGAATGGAGGTTCTTTTTAAGCAGTGATACCTGACTTGTCAACTAATTGCTGCCTACTGCTTACTTTTTAGAGCCCTATACTAATAATTCAGAAGCTAAGTTTTGGTAATTGATTTATTACATTAATAGGTGAATAAGCTTAACATTGATATCCTTTCGTTTTGTATTTTTGTTTGTTTGTTTTTTTAATATATTTTATTGATTTTTTACAGAGAGGAAGAGAGAGGGATAGAGAGTCAGAAACATCAATGAGAGAGAATCATCGATCAGCTGCCCCTGCACACCCCCCACCGGGGATGTGCCCGCAACTAATGTACATGCCCTTGACCGGAATCAAACCCGGGACCTTTCAGTCTGCAGACCGACGCTCTATTCACTGAGCCAAACCGGTTTCGGCTATCCTTTCGTTTTGTTAATACCCAAGGATATTTTTCCTTGACTTTTTTAGAGAGCATGGAAGGTAGGGTAGAGACAGAGAGAAACACTGGTGTGATAGAGATTGGTTGCCTCCAACATGAGCCTTGACCAGGGCTTGAGTTATGTGCCCTTGACCAGAATTGAACCCAGGTCCCTTCAATCCTCAGGTCGACATTATCCACTGGACCAAACTGGCTAGGGTTTGTTATTCTTATTAATCACATATCTGTGTCTCATGGTGGTGAGCCTGCCAATTGTGCCTCAGTTAGAAAGGCCTGCATTTCACCTAAAATCTCAGATAAGCCCTTTGCTAGGCTGTCAGGACAGAGAAATGAGCCAGTCTAGGTCCCTGTTTTTATGATTCCCTCCATTGGAAGCAAACAGGCCCTCCTAGAGCTGCCAGGCAGTGTGCTCCAATCGGGGGCACCTGGAAGCAGAGCCTGGCCACATCCTCTTCCTTACTTTCTGTTTCACTTTGGGTTTCTCTTAGCTCTTCTGGGCTTGTCCCTCCTGACACAGTCTTTCAGGTCTGAAAACCACTTAGGTTCATCCATGATTCCATGCAGTGGACAGCAGCAGCTTGTCCCAGGCTCTGAACCAAAAGCAATGTTGAAAAAAATAGATTCAGCCACTTTTAATGTATGTTTTTATGTACTTGAGGTTATCCTAAACACACAGCAACATTACTGGTTTAATTTCTTGTCTCTTGGCTACATTGTATTCTCCTGGTGGCTATAATTTATTTACAAATGAGTAAGTTTTGGCTACATACTATTCTTAGCAATGTTGGAGTGAACATTCTTAGAATTTTCTCTCTGCATATTTAAGCTAATTAATTACTTGGAGTTAATTCCTAGGAGTGTACAAGCTGGAATAAGGTTATGAGTGTCTTTTTCAATTTGATCCATAATTCCCTTGTCTGATTTGAACTACTTTTAGGGAATAACTTCCGTTGAGTGATGGACAGGCATGAAGGCAGTCCATCCCCAGGGCCTCTTTGTTGCAGCAAGATCTCAGGAGGGTGTTGTGGAGGTGAATGATGTGTCTGCAAGAGCCCAGTAGGGAGTCACAGTAACAGTGACAGTTCCCAGTGCTGCCATGAAACTAACCAACTGATTTCTGTGTTCTCACAGATCTATGAACTGCGGGTGATGGAGACCAAGCCTGACAAAGCCGTGTCTATCATCGAGTGTGACATGAATGTGAGTAACTGCTGCTTATAGTGCATTCCACCCGGGGGAGACGGGCATTTGTGCCCCAAGAGGATGTCACTGTCACACAGTCCCCAGGACTGCTTGGGTGAGAGAGGAGGAAATGCTGCCGGAGCATCATGAGAACGCTGCAGACCTTGTGATTCTTCTCAGGGCCAGTGGAGGTGGCACAGTTGCCTCCGGTTCTGAGATGGCTAAATCTACTGGCATCTCAGACCTGCCAAGAAGTGCATCTTCTTAAACACTAAGGAAGCTCAATTTTTTAAAATATTTTTATTGATTTTAGAGAAGAAGGAAGAGGGAGAGAGAGAAACATCAATATTGAGAGAGAATCATTGATTGTCTCCTGCACGCTCCCTACTGGGATAGAGCCTGCAACCCTGGCATATGCCCTAGACTAGAATCAAACCCAGAACCCTTCAGTCCACAGGAAGATGCTTTATCCACTGAGCCACATGAGCTAGGGCAGGAAGCTCAATTTTTTTACAAAAGCTAAGGAAGGCCGAAACCGGTTTGGCCCAGGGGATAGAGCGTCGGCCCGCGGACTGAAAGGTCTCAGGTTCAATTCCTGTCAAGGGCATGTACATTGGTTGCGGAAAAATTCCCCAGTAGGGGGTGTGCAGGAGGCAGCTGATCGATGATTCTCTCTCATCAGTGTTTCTAACTCTCTATCCCTCTCTCTTCCTCTCTGTAAAAAATCAATAAAATATTTAAAAAATAAAAAGCTAAGGAAGGCTGCTCGGCTCCTAAGTAGAAAGGAACTGCTGGGACACACAATAGTTTGTTGGCTTTCCAGAGAATGATGCTGAGCATAAAAAGGGCAGTCCCAAGTGGTTACAACTGATTCCATTTTTTGTTTTTGTTTTTTGTGTGTGTACGTTAACTCTAACTTGAGGATATTTTTTCCATTGATTTTTAGAGAGAGTGAAAGGGAGAAAGAGGGAGAGAGTGAAACATTGATATGGGAGAGGCACATCAGTTGCCTCCCACATGTGCCCCAACCGGGCCCAGGGATTGAACCTGCAACCCAGGTATGTGCCCTTGACCAGGAATCGAACACACGACCCTTCAGTGCACAGGCTTATATTCTAACCACTGAGCCACATTAGCCAGGGCTGATTCTTGAAATAATAATACTTAAGAAAGAGAGGACAAAATAGTGGTTACAAGGTGCCTTGGGTGGTAGAGAAAATGGCCAGCAGAGGTGTGGATGTGGATGTAGAGGGAAAACATGGAGGGATCCTGTGGTGCTGGAACTATTCAGCATCTTGACTGTGGTCCTACACTAGTGATAAAATTGTGAAAACTTAGCACATACACACAAAGTGAATTCTTGTAAAACAGGAATTCTGAATAGTGTAGACGTTGATATCCGGGTAATGATATCATACTATAGTTTTGTAAAATATCACCATTGGGAATACTGGGCAAAGTGCACAGGGCATCTTTCTGATTAGTTCTTAAACCTGCATGTGAATCTCCAGTTTCCGTTACAAACAGAAAAGCTAAGGAATGCTAAGTGCCAGCGTGTCTCACACTTTCCCTTTCGCATCGGACGCAGGTGGATTTTGACGCTCCCCTGGGCTACAAAGAACCCGAAAGACAAGCCCAGCATGAGGAGTCAACTGTAAGTTCTTCCCTCCCCAGCCCGGCAGGTTTGGCCTCGTTGGTAATGGTCTTTGGGAGCCTGTCCTGGCTGCCAGCCTGTGTTTGGTCCCTACTGGTGCTGGTGTGGCCACAGACCCTGCTTTTCTCCCAGCCCCGCTCCCAGGGGATGGCCCCGCTGTTCCGGTGCAGAAACAGCAATAGAAAATGAGGGGGTATCCCTGGGAAAAGTTGAGGTTTCCCTGCTGGGAAGCTTATCTCTCATTTTTCTGTCCCTGTCAGGAAGGCGAAGCTGACCACAGCGGCTATGCCGGAGAGCTGGGCTTCCGTGTGAGTACCAGACCACGGGTTTCACTTACTGTGCTCCTGCCGTGCCATCTGCTCCTCGCAGCCACTCTATAACGCTCCACGGACATCACTAGGGATTGGGCCTCTGGTATCTTACACACATGTGTCTGTCACTCTGTCAGTTACATCGCACTTGACATCCACTTTCTCATGGAATCTTCCTAACAAATCTGTAAGGCAGCCACAACTTTCTTCTTTTTAAAATTCTAACCTACCATAAAGTTAAAATAGTACAATGGACACACGTATACCTTTCCTTTAGATTCACCAATATGGCCACATTTGCTTTATCTCTAAGAGTGTGTTCTCCTTTTCTTGGCCTACACTGTTTAAAAATAAATTGCAACATGACCCTTCAGTACCGCGCCCAGCCTGGCTCCCTGGGAAAAAAGTGATGACTAGTATCAGGATGCTGGGAGGCAGTGGGGGACTGGAAAGCTGAGCTATGCGGCAGTTGCAGCAGAGGTCTTAGTCCATCCACAGGGCCCCAGACTGCTCCTGCAGAGGCCAAGGCCAGACCTTTTAACCTGTCATTGGCTATTGGCTACAGGCTACCCTTGGGCAGTAGTTGCTCTTGAGCCAGGAGACTACCTTCATCTCACAACAGTCCTGAGACGGAGTTCTCAGCTGCCCACACTTCAGCAGCTGGGCAGTGAGGGCTTCATTCCTGAGGGTGACTGGGTGGCACCCCCAGAACATATCCCTGCAGCAGTCTCAGCAAAGGGCATACCTGTGCTCACCTCCTGCTTGCCTGTGTAGGCCTTCTCCGGCTCTGGGAACAGGCTGGACGGGAAGAAGAAAGGTGTAGAGCCCAGCCCCTCCCCAATCAAGCCTGGAGACATCAAAAGGTGGGTCTTTATCATCATCTAGGGCGGGTCTGTGCTAGGCCTATGGGGTGGGTAGCCTCACTCCAGCTCTGGAAAGAAAGCCCAGCTCAAAGAATCCAGCAGAGGGAGAATTCCCCACCCCCACCCCAACCTGCTCTCCTTGGGGGACTGAAACATGACAAGGAGTTGCTGTTTTCCAGTGGAAGTGTGTCAGTATCTTCCCTCCAGCCCAGAACCAGGCAGTCCAGCCTCCACCTGCCTCCAGCTGGTCCCCCATCAGATCTCTCACCTACTTAAAACCTTTCTAGTTCCTATCCAATCTGTTGTTCTGTTCTATTCATCAAGTCATAGTATCTAACTTCCTTCAAACAGGAGGCACAAGCTGCCTCACAGATGTGTTTCTGTTGTTTGGCCCAGGGACTCAGAGCACATTCCCTGCTCTGGTGGCTGTCACAGTTGGTGGCAGGGATGAGATGTGTCTCCTGTCATATGTCACCTTTCTACTATATGTTGGAGCAGAAGGATGATGGTACAATCCAGTGGTTGGCAAACTCATTAGTCAACAGAGCCAAATATCAACAGTACAACGATTGAAATTTGAGAGCCAAATTTTTTAAACTTAAACTATATAGCTAGGTACATTGTTATTAACTTAATAAGGTACTCCTAGAGATCCAAGATGGCTGCGCCCAGGTGAACACCTAGCCGCAGCCGCACACAACAATTTCAATAAAATACAACTAAAATATAAAACGGACATTGCCCAGAACTACAGGAAGGTTGACTGACTGGAAATTCTACAGTGAGAAGCAAGGAGAAAACCAGAAGGAGGTGCGGAGGAGCTGGAAAAGCCAAGGTACGGAGACGCGGAGACGCGGTGCGCAGAGAGGACAGAGCCGGAGAGGAGGGAGGCCGAGTGCCTGGCGGGCGTTCCCTAGCGGAAAGGAGATAAAACTCCGACTGTGCTGGGCCCCCGACTGCTCTGATCCCCAGTTTTAGGCCAGACCCCGAGGACTCAGGCTCAGCCGTAGGGAGCAGGGCTGTAAGGCGGAACCCCGGGGAGAGGCGAAAGGAGGTCCCGGAGGCGCGCACATTGCGCGCAGAGAAGGGACGGTCGGCTGTGCCGCGGGATCGCCCTGACGGGAAGGAGACTGGGGCTCCAGACTGCTCTGAACGCCACCTCCAACTCCACTTCCAACTGAACTGAACCCCAATACCGGGCTCATTGGGGGAGAGCATAGACTGTTTGGCAGCAGGCGAAAATCGAGGGCACCTTTCTCTCAGAGGCGCCGGCAGCGAGCTCTGACGGACCCGCATAGGGCGGGGCTGACGGAAGCCAAAGCTGCAGGCTCCACCCTGAAACCCCGTCCCATCTGTAACTGCGAAATGCGACAACAAAATAGATCACAAACGAAAGAAATGGAGGACAAAAAGCGTCTGGATATAGAGTTCAAATCTACGCTTATAAGGTTTTTCAAGAATTTCCTAGAAAAGATGGATAAGGCCTATGAGGATATGAAAAGAGATCAACTAGAATTAATAAGGGATCAACAAGACATAAAGAATACATTGTCTGAAATAAAAAATATTTTACAGAGTCCTAAAAACAGAAGGGAAGATCACAAGAATCAAGTCAAAGATTTGGAACATAAAGAGCCAGAAGACACTCCTCCACAGAAGCTAGAAGGCAAGAGAATCCAGAAAATTGAAGATAATGTAAGAAACCTCTGGGACAACTTCAAGCGAACCAACATCAGAATTATTGGGGTCCCAGAAGATGAGAGAGGGCAAGATATCGAAAACATACTGAAAGAAATAGTGACAGAAAACTTCCCCCACCTGGGGAAAGAATTAGACTTACAAGTCCAGGAAGCGCATAGAACTCCAAACAAAAGGAATCCAAAGAGGACCACACCGAGACACATCATTATTAAAATTCCAAGAGCAAAAGACAAAGAGAGAATATTAAAAGAAGCAAGAGCAAAGAAGGTAGTAATCTATAAAGGAGCACCTATACGATTGTCAGCTGACTTCTCAACAGAAACCATGCAGGCCAGAAGGGAATGGCAAGAAATATTCAAGGTGATGAATAGCAAGAACCTACAGCCAAAGATAATCTATCCAGCAAAGCTATCACTCAGAATCGAAGGCCAGATAAAGAGCTTCACTAATAAAAAAAAGCTAAAGGAGTTCATCACCGCCAAACCAGATTTATATGAATTGCTGAAGGGGGTTCTTTCAGAAGATAAAGTAAACAAAGATAAAAATTATGAACAACAAATACGTAACTATCAACAAGTGAATCTAAAAACCAAGGAAATTAAAAAAATCTGATGAACAATATTAACTGTTGAATATAATAGAATCAGAGGTATGGAAGGGGAGTGAACTGACAATTCTTGGGGAAAAGGGGAGAGGGGGGCGTGGGAAGAGACAACATAAACTGTGCACATATGGATGAGGACAATGGGGAGAGGGGAAAGGGAAGAGGGTGGGGTGGGAACCTGGTGGAGGAGAGCAATGGTGGGGGGGGGGGAAGGAACATTTGTAATAATATGAACAATAAAAACTTATAAAAAAAAAAATAAATAAATAAATAAAAAAAAAAAGGAAAAAAAAAAAAAAAAAAAAAAAAAAGGGACTCCTAAGCTGGCCTTTGCTAAAAACATGGTATTTTGTGGAAGAGCCACACTCAAGGGGCCAAAGAGCCGCAAGTGGCTATCGAGCCGCCATTTGCCAACTGCTGGTATAACGGATTTTCACCCACTCTCCGAGTTTGGTACAGGTGTACCCCTCCAAGGTTGATCCCTGAGGCTGGAGGACGGATTTGATGAGGGCCTCCCAGCCTCTGGGTGATCCCTCACTGCAGGCTAGGTCCCGTCTGAAGGCCCTGCCCCATTTGCCTTCTGATTTCCTGTAGGGATGCTGGGAGCACCAGAGGGCTGGCCAAGGCCAGGGTGGTTTACAGCCGCCTGCCTCAGAATGAAAATCGCCAAGAGGACACTCTTCCTCTCTTTGGCTTGCCTTCCTCTTGTGAGTCAAGAGGGAATTTGAGTCCTGCTCTTCTGGAGCTAACATTTCTCCTCTTCCATCTTTACAGAGGAATTCCCAATTATGAATTTAAACTTGGTAAGATCACTTTCATCAGAAATTCACGTCCACAGGTCAGAAAGGTTGAAGAGGTGAGAAGTTTTATTTTCTAATGGGGGGGGGGGGATTCTTTCCATTTGGAATCTGGGTATTGCTGTCATATTTTTCTTCATTCGTGGGGCTCTCCTCCCTCCAGTGGCCTGGTGGTCCTATGGAGGCTGTGTGTGGGGTGTGGGGCTGGGTGTAGAGGTGTGTGTTTGGGAGCTCAGAACCCTCATCTTCTGTAGATAACACCACTGGCTGACTAACAGAAGGAATACATGAAAGATACCCGTTTTTGAGAGTTCAGAAAAACAAGCCCTCTTTCTGCTGGTGGGAGACTAGCTTACTAAGGAATTCAACTTCTAGGAAATATCAAGCTCAGTGCAAACACATTAAGCTGGTCATCACAGAATTTAAAAATACTGCAAACCTAGAAGTAATATCCAAGGGTACAGACTGTCTCTCCTACCTGATGAAATTCTCCGTAGATTTTAGAATGTACTGGATAAGAAATCCATTGTCTTGAGACTTGGGAATAAAGTTTGCAAATAGTCCCTAATCATTTTGGCTCAGTAGATAGAGCATCGACCTGCAGACTGAAAGGTTCCAGGTTCGATTCCGGTCAAGGGCATGTACAATACATTGGTTTCGGGCACATCCCCAGTAGGTATCTCATTGATGTTTCTAGCTCTCTATCCCTCTCCCTTCCTCTCTGTAAAAAATCAATAAAATATATATATATATATATTTTTTTTAAAAAGAAAGAACAAAAATGTGATGCTTCTGCAAAAGGATATTCGCTCACCCTGAGGATAAAGGCAGTGGTAGACACATGGTTGTGATTATGTGGCATGTGTTCAATTCAGTTGATTGTGATTTGTATTTATATTTCAAAAACATTTCTTATCAATAATGGGGAAGTAAGGAAAATGGGTGGATGGTACGAGTCAGCAAAATAAAGCAATTTCTATAAACCTCCAAGAAATTTCTGAAAATAGTATCTTATTTTCACACAGGATGATGCTGGAGGCAGATTCGTCGCTTTCTCTGGAGAAGGACAGTCATTGCGTAAAAAGGGAAGAAAGCCATAAGTTAGCTGATTGGAAAATAAAATACTCAATTGCAACATAATGGCTTTTAGTTACTGGCTCTGACAGGGATGAAAGTATTGCAAAGATGCTCTGTCACTTTAGGTTTGTTTAGAGTTACCTAAGAATCGTCTAGTTTGGTCTGGAAGTGGGATGCAGGACTTCGTGGTTACATGCTTGAATTGGAGAAAGAAGGTGCTACTGGCGACCTCCTCACCACTTCCTGCTTTCCCCTTGGGGGCATTCCCACTGACCCAGCAGGAACAGAGTTCCCCGTTCCCAATAAAAGTCAAAGGAAGGGGTTGAAGTACTCTAACTTGTGATGTTCTTTTTATTTTATTTACCCTTTCTTTTTGTGGGTCTGGAGCTTAGATGTTGTCTTTGGTCTAAAGAAAAGTGGTTTAAATAGATTTGTCCTCTATAAATAGTGGTTATTCTACTTTTTTTTTTTCCCCCTCTCTCACAAAAGAACTATTTCTCAGAAGGAAAACCTGATCTGAAAACATTTCTACTTTAGTTGTCATTTCAAAATAACTGGCTCCCTGAGTCTATTCTATTAGGGAGCGGGAGGGAACAACAAAATTTCATGGTGAAGCACAAATATGAAAATTAGAATAATTAAGAGCTAAAGGTGGTCCTTTTTCTCCTTCCCTATCTCCCACTCCCAGTTTAATGTGCTTTCCAATGTTCTGCTGGCCTGCATATTTTGTATTGGTCTCAGATCCTCACTTTGTATAAAGTGAAATCTTTTTTGACATGTTAACCCAATTATTTTTCATCTCTTTTTGTTCCTTGAAAGTAATTCTAAATTTTTCAAATAAAAACAGGGAATGACTAAAACCTGGATTGCCTCTAAATGTTTGGTTAGATGTCAACAGGGATTGATGTTTGGGCCACTGAGCAGGAGTTAGAGGAAGACCTGCTTGCAGGTACCCCTCATTCCATAGTGCTGTTAGAAAAGAACTTGGGGACAGGGGAGTGGCTCAGTGTATGGAGAACCGAGGCTCTCTGACCCTTGGGGTGAAGATGGTCAGGCCCAGATCTCCCCTTGTACCAGGTCTCCTGCGCTCCTTCCAACCCTCAGAAGAGGACAGGATGTACCATACCAGGGTCCACCATGGATCTCAGAGAATGAGCACTGAAGATTGTCATGATGACCAGCACTGTTCATCCATCATGGTGATGGGTGTAATTTCAGAAGGCATAAAGTACCACTGTGACCTACCTGACTCTTCCCTTAAGGCAGGTGTGGGGAACCTTTTTCCTGCCAAGGGCCATTTGGCTATAACATTTTCAGGCCATAAAAAAATTACCACCTTAAAAAATTAGCCTGCTATATATTTGGTCAAACATTTAACTTATCCCTAATGCCTTGCAGTGGCAAACCAAATGATTTTGCGAGCCTTATATGTCCCGTGGGCCAGTTGTTCCCCACCCCTGACCTTAGGAGTCTCAGTTCCACCGCAGAGGTAGAAGCCTTTGGTGGGTAGGCAGCTCCACTGGTAGGATCACATCGCCTGACATTGCCACTTTATGCATAATAAAGACGCTGGCCCTGGTTTTTCTCTTCCCAGGTATCACCTGTATGTGTAATGAAACCGGCCCTGTTCTTGTGCTGGAGGCAGGATTGGACCCCAATGATGGGTCTCCTGCTGGCACAGTGGGATCACCTGGAGCAAAACTGCTTATTCCTGCTGTACCCTGGCCCGCAACCTTATTGTCACACAGTGTCTTCTCCAAGCTTGGTCTGTGAGCCAATCTGGCAGGGATCCTGATAAAATTCAACTTTCTGAACCAGCTGCAGGGCCTCTGATCTGACCCAGTCTCAATCATAGAAGGGGCCCTGCACATGATCCGGTCTACATAGGCTGGGGAACCATTGCATTGCTACTGCAGGGCTTTCTGTCTCAGTAAAGCTTTCACTCCTAATCAGATATGCTAGCGGCCCTGGACTTGTACCCAGTGCCACTCGCAGCCTCCATGCCTTGGACCACCCCGCCCCTGTGGCTCAGAATGCCCTTCTCGCCTCCACTTCCAGCCTGAGTTCCCTCGGGAGGTTATCCGGCACCTTAGATATGTCCCTGCACACGTTATGCCCAGCCAACCCCCGTTGTTTTGTGAGTGGTCACTACAGCAGCTTCGCGGAGGTTGCTGCACAGTATGTGCTTACCGCATCTTAAAGATCGGGCTAAAACAATAGATAGTATTATAACATCTCCTGGCGTGGAAAGATGCCTCAGTGAAAAAAGCAGGAAGTATACACTAGCCGGTAGAGGATTCCATCTTTAGGGAAACATATAATGGCTCAAAAATTTCGGCTGCCCTAGCCGGTTTGACTCAGTGGATAGAGCATCCGCCTGGGAACTGAAAGGTCCCGGGTTCAATTCCAGTCAAGGGCACATGTTCGGGTTGTAGGCTCAATCCCCAGTGGGGGACTTGCAGGAGGCAGCCGATCCATGATTCTCTCTCATTGTGGATGTTTCTATCTCTCTCTCCCTCTTCCTTCCTCTCTGAAATCAATAAAAATATATTTTTAAAAATTTTAGGCCTAAAATTGTGTTGGGGAAGCTGTTCACCTCCGGGATGGAGGTCTGGGAGTCTTTCATATTCTACTTCGCATTTCTGATCACTTTTTAAACAAGAACAGAAACATCTATTTGAGACAATAGTGCTTAAGAAGACTGAGATGGTGAAAGTGATATGTGTAAAGAGGTCAGCATAGCCACTGGCACCTGCCAAGGAGCCCCCGTGTTTATTTTGAGAGTGGCATCTGTGGTCTGAACTCCTACTCACCCATCCAGGGCTCCCTGGACAAGCATCTCTTTCCTTATCTTCCGTCTGACCACTCTTCCCGACTCTTATATCTTCTAGCTCAGCCCCCACCCCCACCAGCCTTAGGAGGTAAATCTGATTAGGTCAACTAAGGGCATTAAGCCCTGAGGCCAAGGAAAAGATAATTTTTAAAATTTCCTCAAATTATGGTGATCTACACAGTTGACCCTTCAAGCAAAATAGATTTGAATTATGTGCCTCCACTTACTGTCAAACCTGTGTCCTTCAAAGGTCAGCTGTATTTTCCACCCACAGTTGGGAATCCATTTGTGCAGAGGATAACTTAAGTTATACAGATTTTCAGTTGTGTGGATTAGATGGAAGTAGTTTCAGAGAAGTGTGTACATGCGCTGTTTGTCCATCTGTGTTTGGGAGCCTGCTGAGGAGGAGGGCGGTACCTGGGCTATGTGAGGTGTGAAGTGACCAGGGTCTCCCTTGCACAGCGATCCCTCTGTGAGAGCGAGCGTGGGAGAGTCCAGGCTGCAAGAAAGCACACCCTCGTGTGGACCCCGAGACAGAGCCCCCCTGCAGACTGGCATCTCCCTCTGGAGGAGAAAGACGGGTGACAAGCACCCCTGCACGGCTTCCTGCAGTCTTCTTCAAGGACTCTGATTGGCCCAAATATTCCAGGAGGTACTGGGAGCTCCTGCCTGGCTTGGAACACATAGCTCGACCGTCTCCAGTGCTGCTTGCCCACCCTCACCTGCCTTCAGTGTGCCCCACCGCTGCCATGCTCCGGGGGACAGTTCTGTCAACTGCGCAGCTTCCGGGAAGCCAAGCACCACTGCATACTGCTGTGAACAGCCACGCTGGGCTGTCTCATGCTCCCCTACCAGGGACATTAGCACAGGAGATGGCCCTCCGAAGGTCTAGAATTCTCAGGAAAACTTTTGAATAGTAGCCCTGAACCGTGTGGACACGAAGAGGTAACTAAATGGTTGTGCAGTCACGAACATCTTGTGGGGTCATTTTGTGCCACCTGGCTTGGTGATGGCCGTGCATTGCCACCCTTTGCTCGCACTTGGCTGTGGCCCACGAGCTCAGTTCCTCTGCAGACACGGGTGGGGCATAACCTCTGGACCAGCAAGCTGTACCTTCTAGGCCCAGGAGGTGAGATTCCAGTTTTTCAGAAATGCACACAGCTACAGGATATTCCACCTTGCATAAAAAGGGTTCATGGACTCATGGCTCAAGAAACTCAAACCCAGGACGAATGGAATTTTGGTTTGCTTCCCTCAATATTTTTAGAAAATATCAAAAGCCATTTTACACATTAGATTCCAAAAAGAAGCTAAATATAAATTCAGTTTAGTTGGGATTGTTAAATTTCCCATCGGATGTTGTACTCCCGACTACTGAAATAAGGTCATAATCCAACAGGACATTGTGAGGACATAGCCAATAGGTGGCCATCTCCAGGCCAAGGAGAGAAAAAACGACCCTGCTGGTAACTTCCAGAACTGTGAGAAATGTGTTTCAGCCATGCAGTCTAAATGGCATTTAGACTGCACAACCATTTAGTGGCATTTAGTTCTGGCAGCCCCAGCACACTAATGCAGTCACCACCCCGGCGTAAGAGTGCTCAGCCCCACTTGTCCCACCCTCCTGAGGGAGCACAGCAGTTATGTTAATTAGTGTGTCCTTGGCTTGTTCCACTCTCTTTAGCCACCCTCCCAGCTTAAAATGCTAAGCTGGTCCTGCTGAGGAAGTTCATGTGTCTGTCTGTCCCACCCGTGCAGACAACACGGAGCATACAGCCTGAACACCCTTCATCTTTGTTTCTTGCCTCCTGCTGGGGGAAATGGTCTCCATCATCCTTTCCCCGTACCCGGCATGGGAGGTGATGGGGACATTTGTAATCATGTAAACAATCAAAATAAAGTGAAAATAAAATTTTTGTAAAGGAAGGGCAGCCTGTCTCGCCTCTGTCCATCCTCAGGTGAGTTAATTTTGACTCTTACATGAGACAAGGAGACGCTTGATGACACATTTATTCTCAGCATGCCTGATTCTGTGACAAGGAGGCTTGAGCTCTGGTCATTGTGGCTTCCAAGGGCAGCGTGTTCAGACAGCGGCCCGCAGCTCTACCTCTTGAACTCCACCTGTGTGTACACCTTGGTGATGTCATGGTACCGGCCTTCAGGGGGCTGGTAGTTGGAGATGGGTGGTGTGTAATCTGGCCCTTCTCTCTCAAAGGGAAACAGACTGTAGTCCCGCTTGATGGCCTCCGCATAGAGTTCCTGGGATGTGAGCTGCAGCTCCTTCAGAGCTTCCTGCTGGGCCTGGAGCAAGGACTTGATGGCTTCCCTCTCCATCTCATGCTCTCGCTGCTTGTGCAGGGACCACTTCTTCATGAGCAAAGCTCTCCGTTCCTCCTCCTCAAAGGAAAGCTCTACCTGAGGCCGCTGTCTGGGAACACACAAATCCCAAGGTGTGAGGCTGGGAAGCACTGACCTCACTGACCAAGGGGTCTGGGTGACTGATATGGCCCAAGCACCCTCCCTGCCAGACACAGAGGGAACTCAGAAAAGAAAGGGACACATTAAGGAATGCAGTGTTGAATGTGGTGGCAGCTGTGGTGACACTAGGAACCAGGCCCGTTTGCTTCATGTGGAAATAGGAGACAGTGATCCCTGAGGAGATTACAGTAGCACTTCCTCTTTCCCAGGCAGAGACTACCTTTGGTGAGAGGTGGCTTTGGAGAAATTGTATAATGAAAACGAACACCAAAATCTCAGGGAATCAAGAGCCTCTTATCAGCCCCAGAGTACCAAAAGACACCTGCCAGTCCCACCTGTATGGCAAGGTGCAACTTTATAAATAGTACAGGCTTTTATAAGACAGCAACCCTGCACATGACACATGGTAATCACAAGCATTTTGCATCACAAAGCAAGAGGCTAAGGGTTTTCTACCATCAGGATGGGCAAGGCCCAAGTTGTCACAACAACATAAACTCTTGAGCAGTGCTGATAGAACTAACTCTAGCATCTGGCCTGGCTTATCAAACAATTACTCTGAGTTTCTTTCCTGCATTCAGCCACTCAAGAGCACACCACCCAGAAATGTTTTTCAATTCCCAGGAGACATGATCAAGAAGAGGACTCAGCCCCGGGCCCCGTCAGCCCAAGCCTACTGACTGACCCCCTTCCCATTACCTGCATGAACTGCAGGTAGAACTACCCTCAGGTGATGGGACTCCTTTGCCCTCAACCCTAGGACTCTTACCTCTCTTTATCCATGAACTTCATGGGGATAATAAAATCCTCAATGGGAATTAGCTCCTGGCTAGCCTTCTCTAGTTTTCGGATCCTCTTTTTCAAACGGTCCTTTACAGCTTGATCTTTTTTAGGATCGATCTTCTTCTTCTTTTTCAGAGGTTCTGCTCTAATGGATAAAGCAAACGTGAAAGTGTTTCCTCTTCAGTTTCACAAACATCCTGAGAGGCATGGCACCAGGTAAATACCCCAAACTTGTACTGAACTCTCCACTGGGGAATGAACTGCACGGTCCTAACCTCCTGAGCTGAGTGTGGCAGGGAGATAGATGGGTGGCTTCCAGCCCAGGGTCCTTGTGAGAACTGTTTGGGCACTCTCAACCCGGAAAGGCGTGGGAAAGCCTCATGGGGCATCCGGGTATAAATTAAAGGGAAGGGCTCATCTTTAGTGCCAGGGTTCAGTTGTGCCTTGGGATTGCACTGGAAAGTGAAAATACCAAATGGATGAATTAGAAGTCAATTACATCGCAAATGGATTTGTGATTTATAAAAATTATTTCAAATGGGGAGGTATGGACACATGTAATACCTTAATCAATAAAAACAATGAAAAAAATTTTCAGTAAGACTAAGAGAAAGCATAATAAAAGTGACTGGCCTGTCCCTAACTTTTGGGGGGTTTCTTAACAAATTCCCATGCTAGAGCATTAACAAAGTCTTATTTACTCTCAGGAACACATCTCCTACGGTGATAATTTAGTATTAAGAATAATCAAATCCTCTAGCATCAAAACCAAATTTTGTGAATCAAGTCCCTAGAAAGCATCCAGAGTTCCAGATGTAAAAACTAGTCCTCACACCTCCCCCCCCCCAGGGAGTCAGAAATGGAAGGCCCATGAAGAACAGACGTTTATGCATTGCCCTGTAAAAAACACAAGAACCCATTCAAAGTAAACTACTTTTACATTTAATTTTTGTTTTCTGATTACAGACACACCAGTGTTCCATACAGACAGAAAAACATCTAGCCAAATTTAACAGAATTTGTGTAAGCTGTTCATTTTGCATACCAGAGAGTAGTCGTGATTTGTGCACATCTATCTCCCGCTGACACCCCCAAAGAGGTCAGGCCCACATCTCAGCTTACCTCATGGGAATGAGTTCCCAGAAAGACAACAATGAAGCTCGCTGGTGTGTGTCTCTAACCTGTGTCTGCCAAACTCCCAGACACCTGGAAGAGATGAGTGTGTATAAATACCTGATTCTCCCCACTAAACAGGAAAAAAAGAATTATAATGCCCTCGAAATCTAAGGCACTTGCAACTACTAGATGTGACAGCAAGGCCAACGTGCGAGATATTTTTCAAAATCCCCCGTTCACAACAGAGAGCAGTGGGCAGAGTCCCCGCTCGCTAGGGTCTTCTCATGTTCACCCACAGGGAAAGGCGGGTCAGCCCGTTTATAACTGAGATGGCCGTGGACAAGGGCGGTCAGGGAGGAAGCCCAGGCGAGGCCCTGGCCAGCCCCCGTGCACGCCCCGGACACCCCGCGAACGGTCTGACCGTCCTCACTCACCAGCACGGCGGCCGCAGAGCACGCGCGGCAGCTCCCAAAACCGCGGTGGCCATGGCTCCCAAGTCAAGCCACCGGCTGCTTCCGGGCGCGCACCGCGGCGGTCCGGCCCACGGTGCCTCGCGCTACGGTCCGGCAGTCCCGTCGGTTCACGCGATCGCGTTCCGGCCTGCGGTGCGAGCCGTGGAGGAGGACCGGAACACGCCTTGCCCCGCCCCGACGTAGCGACGTCGCGCGGGCACGCCCCCAACTGGCCTGGCCCCGCCCCAGGCGCCGGTGTGGTCCTTTCTTCCGCGTCCGCCGCTATCACACACGTCATTCTTCCCCCTTTCCCCCCCCCCCCTTAATTGGCCTGCACCCTTGGGAGCGCCAAGACTCCGCAGTGCAGCCGGAATGGCCAAGAGGATGTCCCTTTACTCCAGGTCTTAAGTGTCCACATCAGTGAAAACGGTCCCCGATCTTCCAGTAAACGCGCAGCCTCCGTTTCCCCCGTGGCCCTCCAGGAGGCTGGCTCATCCCCCTGCATTCATTCCAACTCGGCGCCGCGGCCGCCCGCCTGCTGGTGGCCGCACCTGGGCGCCGGCACGTGGCCTGGCGCTCCCGAGATGCCCAATAAGCGCGTGTTGATGAATGACGGAAGCTAGCTAATTAGACCGGTAACCAGCGATGTAGAGCTGGGGAGGCGGTCCACGCTCCTCCGGCCTGGGCTGCCACTCGGGGCCCCGCTTGCCCGCCGCGGTCCCAGCAGACTCTCCCCTTCACCCAACGCTGCGAGCAGGGCTGGACCCAAAGCGGAGCCTCCCTAACGCTGCCCCTACCCGCAGAGGTGGCAGCCAGGGCGGGCCCCGTCCGCGCAGGGAGCGGTTTCCCGCCGGGGCGATTTGGCAGGTGCGCGCCGTGACTTCCGGCGTTGCCCGGGAGCTGCCGGAGGAGGAGCGGTGCAGGGGATGCGGCTGTGGCGGCGGCGGTGGCGGCCGAGCGCGGGGGACGGCTGTGGCGGCGGCCTGGGGCGCGAGCCGGCGATGGCGTGGCGGCACTGAGGGCGCGGGGCGGGCGGCGGCTGGAGGGCGGGCGGCGCGGAAGAAAGCGGCGGCGGCGGCGGCCCCATGGCCCGCGCGCGCTGAAGGACGCGGCTCTCGCCTCAGCCCGGCGGCGGCGGCCGAACAATGAAGCTCCTGAAGCCGACCTGGGTCAACCACAATGGTGAGTGAACACGGAGGTCGCCCGAGGCCACGCCTGGCGTCCGATCGGGGGTCCGGAGCCGGGTCGGCGCGGCGCGCGGGGCCGTGCCCGCTTCGCTCCCGTCGCCCGGGTGCCCGGTGCCAGAGCCGCGGAGCGGGAGGTAACGGACTTTGTCCTCGGAGCGGGAGACCCGCGAGCCCCGGCACGTGCTCCCGCCCGCCCGGCTGCGGCCAAGTCCGCCTCCGCCCCCAGCGCTTGCGCCGAGCCCTCGGCCACCCACCCTCGGTCCGTGGAGGCGCCGCGGCCTGGCTTTGGGGAGCGCCCTTGGGCGCCAGCCAGTTCTGCACCAGCCAGGATGTGCTCAGACGGTTCGATGTGTGGGGAAACCTGGCGCAGCCCCTCTTGTAGCTTTTGATTGGCGGAGCGAAGACCTGAAACCTGCACGCCTCTGCCCTGCTGGCGGAGGCCTGGGTCTGGCCACTGTGCCCCCAATTGGGGGGAGTGGGGGCTATGGCTGAGCGCTGAGGTCCCCCAGCAGAAGGAACCCCGTTTTATTCTGAGCTGGGGCATCATGGTGACTTGGATTGAGCAGCCCATCCGACACAGGTGTGTTCTAGGAGAGGGGAAACTGACTCTTCCAGGCCTCTAGCTGAGAACAGGCGGTGTGTAACCAGCAGCTTTGTCATAGTTCTACCCTGTGGGCACAGCTGCAGGAGTTGGTCCTCCTCGCCACCCCTGTCTCAGGAAGCCCAGGGAGCACTCCTCCAGCAATAAGGCCTGTAGCCCGGATCCCAGCCTGCCTCTGACTACTGCTAGGCAAAGGGTCACCTCCTGGTTCCTCATTTCTGTTTGCATGCAGCTAGAGTGAGTTATCAGTTTTCTTTTAGAGCAAGTAGAGGAGATGCTTCTGCCTTTTTTGCACATGTAGCTTTTCCGTTTTGTACCTGATCTGCGGGTTGCTCTCTGCTCCTGTAACTGAACTGAACATGTATGTTCTTTCAGGCACAAGTGTTCTGCCTTTCTCTCCTTGTGTGATATCTTTATCATTTTCCAGGGCCCGGGTGGGTCCCCTTTTCCTTCTACCGTTCCTCCTGAGTCAGTCCACTAGATGTGCTCTGTGCGTGTGTCCTTTTTTCATATGCCCCCAGGGCAGAGACTGCCTTATTCCCCTCCTTATCCCTGCCCCTCTTGGCATCCTTTATCTCCCACATAAAGGATGCATGATAAATATTGGCTGGAACAGGTAAGAAAGATGAGGTTTCTATAATTTATGAAGACACACTAGGTTTATGTGCATGAAATCAAAAGCTGTGAACTAGTGTTCCATTTCTCCTAAGTTGATTTCTACGTTGATGTTCTGATGTGTAGTGTGCAGATCTTTCCCCGGAGACCTGGGGAAATGTCCAGTAATTATAAATTATGGGGCTTGTGAATTAGAAAAGGAAATATTTCATTATGAAATAGTTTGTGGTGTAAGTGAAGATCTGAAGGAATTTTTTATTTTAAAATAAAAATTTTGCCTAGATCAGTTTGTGTGTATAGTCAGCCTACCCTTCTCCAGTCTCTCTGACTTTCTGCCATATAATTTCTAACTTTCTGATTAGCTCCTTTGCAGGTCACAAGTTCTGTGCTGTGTAAAAGAATAAGTCAAGGTGCTTAAGTGATTATCTAGGTACAAACAAGTGAGAGTCTACAATCAGGCCAACAGCCAAGCATCCCACCCTGGCAGAGTGGGCGTGGCCTCTCCATAGTCTTAGGATGGAATTTTGTGATATTGCTCCGCCTTATTCACAGTACAATTATGATGTTTGGTTGGGAAGGAAGACACAAAAGTGCACCCCAGATTATAAAATACTTTAGAAACCTAAGACATAATAAAAAATATAAAAAATTGGCACTCTGGAGTGATGGAATTGAACTTATTTTAAACTTGTTTTTTGCTAAATTTCCTTGCTTTTAAAATCTCCTGAAATCAACCTTTGTCTTATCAAGTGTCCAGAAGAACTGTCATGGTAAATTACCACTGTCCTGCAGGAAATAATCATTGTCTAGTCAGGGGTCCTCAAACTTTTTAAAGTGGGGGCCAGATCACGGTCCCTCAGAGAGCTGGAGGGCCGGACTATATGAACTACTAATTCCTACTGTAACACCTCGGCTGCGCTCACTGCCCAAAAAACCTGGCGGGCCGGATCAGACTCCTCTGCGGGCCGCATGTGGCCCGAGGGCCGTAGTTTGAAGACGCCTGGTAGATTACTGACCAGTCTTACTGATCAGTCCTTTAAAAACTGGTGACTAGGGAGAGCTGGTGGGGACCGGAACTGCTCAGCCAGAAGCCAAAGTGGTGGTGGGTGGTGCTTACTTTGGATTAACAAACAAAAAAGACCATGGTGCTTTGGAGAGGGTATCATTTCACTTTCTGGCTTCCTTTCTCTGCATTTATGTCTCCTGACTTGTTACGTGGCTTGAACATACTTTTTCTGTTGTCTGAGAGTCCAAAGAGGGATGGAGCAAGAGAGCGCAGCAATTCCTCTGAGGTGGTAGGATCCATTCAGACAAGTGGAAAAGGCAGCTAGAACAGGGCCGGTTTAAGGCAAAATGAGAAGCATATGTTGGGGTATAGGCCTTCGTTTTCCTGGCTGATAATGATAATAGTGGTAAGAACTTTCTTCTAAGATAAGGTTCCTCAGCCTCAGCACAGTTGACATTTCGGGCCATAGAATTGTTCTGTTGTAGGATTTTAGCATCCATGGCCTCTACCACATGTCAGTGGCACACATCTCCCCTACACTCCCAATTGTAACATCAAAAATGTCTCCAGACATTGCCATTGTCCCGTGGTGAGCAGAATCATCCCCAGGTGAGACTCTCTGCGCTGTGGTAAGTTAATAAATTTTGAAGTTGTCATATCCCAGTAAAATGAGCCTTGAAAATGGAGTCAGACTGGGTTCAAGATGCCATTATTTATTGGCTGTAAATTCTTGGTATTGTGATTTCACTCCTGGACCTTGGTAAAATTGAGTAAATATAAAAACTCACCCCTATCATTTCATCCTGTACCCAAAGAGTGCCTTAAGATATAGAATAGCCAATAATATTTATAACTTACATAGAAGTTAGGAGCCAGGTATTGTTCATGCTCACATGTTTTACTCCCTGTTCTTAGATATAGTATTCTTTATATTTCATTTTATTTTAGGCTTGACCAAAGGTTCATTTCTTAGTTAGGTTATGACCATATATTAGTCAGAAAGTGAAAGCGATTGGGATTTTGGTTGTAGGAAAATGTAGTCTGTATTTGTGTGTTTAGGTAGTTCCATTGAGATAGGTTCTTCCCATCCTTCGGCCTTTGTTCCTAAGAATTTTTCTGGAACTCTCACTCCTGGGCAGTGTTCATGCTCAGCTCTTCAGGACCAGGACTGGAAGAACTCTCATCCTCCTTTGGCCTCTGGCTCACACTTTGATGGCAGTGTTGTAAAAGGTGTTTGGCAAATTTTCAGTAATGGGATAATTTGTCGGTTAATCACATTGCTTTGTGGTATGTTTTCTCTCCTGTCCTGTAATTGCATTATTTCCCCCCCTACCCTGTCTCATCCCAGAAAGGATTTTGAGACATCCTATTGAGACATCTTCTGTATCTGGGTGAAAATAAATAAGTCAGCTTGAAGGGGAAATGCGGGGAGGATGGTGCAGAAATGAAGTCGGGACTGGGTGTTGAGAGGCCCTTGCACAGCTACTGGAGGGGCCCTGCAGACCTGTCTCTCAGAACGGGCTGGGAGGGGTTCTAATAGAGAGATTGTATGATTGCAGTGGTTGTTAGGTACACTTTAGAGTTGCTCTAGATTGGGGGTTCTCAAACAGGCTGGTGTCTGAAGACATTTTTGGTTCTCACAACTGAGGAGGGAAGAGAGCTACTGGTATCTAGAGTAAGCACAGGACTGCTGCTGAATACCCTCCAGCGTATAGGACATGCATCCACAACAAAGAATCCTCTGTCCCAAATGTCAGTAGCGCCAGGTTGAGAAACTCTCTAGATAAGAATATATATTATATATATATATTTTTTTTTTTGCCTTTTCTT